AAGAATCTTTATTAAGAGAAAAATTAATCCAAAGAACAGTGTGTGTAGTATGTATAATGTGTATATGTGCTTGGACAATTTGAGGAAAAGGACATAAATCACTGACAATTACCTCTGGAAATGGGAATGAGGGTCTTGTACAGAAGGGGTTTTAAACTGTGGTTTTTAGACTTTCTTGTAGAGTTTGAGGTTTTCAATAGATACCTGTGATGTTTGCATTTAAAAATTTTCCAGCTCCCTAATCTGCCTGCAAAATGGATTCAGATGATATGGTGTAGTGCCCCACAACCTGCTTGTCCTTTTGATCTGACACACAACTATATTTGGGAAACACAGCTTTGGAGCAAGATCTTCCTACAGACAAATATGTGGATACCCAGAGAGGTCTTTGGATGCCAGAGTATCTATTTTAAATTAATTGTGTCATTATTCAAATCATATTCCACAAGCATGAGGAAAATTATATAGTTGGGAGTGAGGATATATCAGGTGATCCAACAGGTAGGAAAGCTTTCCTTAGATGGCCTCAGTATGAATACAGGGATGAAGAAAGCTAGAGGTCATTGTTGACAAGGGAGAAACCTGGATGTTATAGGCGCCAAGTCATAGCCAGATAGACAGTGTTACAGCTTATTTGAGCCAAGACTGCTACCGAACAACTGATGTAAGTTGAAATTATTCAAAATCCTTTGCCTTGTCATTCGAGTTCCGGCTTCCTTTTGAATCCTATCTCTGCTGGGTCATTTCCTGTGGTCCAATCACAGTTCTGCAACGTGACCTTTACCATATCTAACCTGGTTGTTGGACTTTCTCTAAAATGCCATCCTAATTACAGGAACACCTTTCTCTCCTAATTCTATGCAAATTCTGATCATCTTGGATCAAGCCAAACTCTTTCCCTTTAGCCATGAGTGAAAATGAAAGGTTAAATAACTTTTAGGAGCCCTCCTTGGGTGATCACAGATTAATTCATTCCTGGGTCATAGATGGGGCTCACTCCTAGACTAACACTCTGGAATGATGTACGTGCATGTGCACATGTACATGCGTGTGCGTACATCTGGAATGATGTATGTGCGTGTGATGTATGTAGGTGCACGTGTCCATTGAAGATCCAGAAACAGTCTGAGGGTTGGGCCAGGGTGCCCAAGAGCCAGCGGCCGGATGGTGCAGATGAACGCCCACTTCTGGCCAGGCCCGTTCCCCGGGGCTTTCCCTCAGAAACGCTGCGCTCCAGGAGGAGAGAGCACATCAGAGCGACAGCCTGGTGGGTAGGTTCTCTGAAGGCTGAGGAGGGGTGAGAAGCCCTGTGTGTGCCAGAGAAAGGCTACAGGCCCTCAGTGGAGAGCGTGCCCAAAGGGGCCCAGGCGGGAATGAACAGACAGGGGGAAATGGCAGACGTTGAATCCTTAAAGACTTCAAAGTTTGGGGATTTGCAGATTTAAAAAAAGCAACAGGAAAGGAGTAGGGGTCCAAAGGGGTCTTAGTAGGGGTCCAAAGAGGTCTTAGGGATGGAGCTCATTTGACACAGTGGTTGGCCTTGAACTTGCAGCACATGCCAAGTCTCATAGCTTTGAACAGCCCTAGAAATGAATCCACCAGACTTTTTAAAATTCCTGTAACAATTCCTCATCCCTTCTCATCTGCCATCCTCCTCCTCATAAAAGCTGTTCCAAGAGCACATTAAGGCCCATCAGCCACAGAGGAAGCACGTTTCAGACGGCTCATGCAATGCTTTCTCATCTCCACAGTCTCCTGTGTCTTAAACGCACAGCTCTCCGGCCTCTCGTCTATTCCTTCCCCTTGGTCTATGTGACCCTTGCCATTAACTACCACTTTTGCTACTGCCGTCTCCTCCCCTTGCTGTTCCACCACCAGCAGCTCCTTTCTCTCCCTTCCCCGCCTCCTTCCCTCTCCTGCTTCCTCACTGGGAAGTATAGTGTCAGCACTTTGCAGCCAGATGGACGCACAGCTGCTTTTCCTAGGCTAGCTCTCTCTTCTGCTAATGGCAGAAACCCGGCTGTCCAGTCCAGGTCCCCTGGCCTGGGACACTGAAGAGCCAGCCTCATCTATTAGCTCCCAAGTCCCAGGCAGCGAGCCTTGGGAGGCCGAGAGAGACAATGTGGACCCTGGTCTTGCTCCCTGCCTGGAGTCTCTAGCTGTCATGCCTGCTTGGTCTTTGCTTCTGAGAAGTCTGGAGTGATTCGCCATTCCCCAGGGAGACTCAAACAGCCTTTGTATGCCTTAGACCTGAGTGAGACCCTTTAGTTTTATCTACAAGGGAGGTAGTGACTTGGGGGAGTTGAGCACTGAGCCTGAACCTGTGGGGTTTGTGCACATCAGCTGCAGCCACCAAGGCCTTCTCAGGGGGCCTCCTTCCCAGTGTCCTTCCCAGGGCACTGCTGGCCAAGGATGGGCGGGCCAGAGACAATGGGGTGCACACGCACGTACATCATTCCAGATGTACACACATGCACGTACACGTGCACGTACATGTGCACACGCATGTACATCATTCCAGAGTGTTAGTCTAGGAGTGAGCCCCATCTATGACCCAGGAATGAATTAATCTGTGATCGCCCAAGGAGGGCTCCTAAAAAGTTATTTAATCTTTCATTTTCACTCATGGCTAAAGGGAAAGTTTGGCTTGATCCAAGATGATCAGAATCTGCATAGAATTAGGAGAGAAAGGTGTTCTTGTAATTAGGATGGCATTTTAGAGAAAGTCCAACAACCAGGTTAGATATGGTAAAGGTCACTTTGCAGAACTGTGATTGGACCACAGGAAATGACCCAGCAGAGATAGGATTCAAAAGGAAGCCGGAACTTGAATGACAAGACAAAGGATTTTGAGTGGTTTCAATTTGCATCAGCTGTTCAGTAGCCATCTTGGCTCAAGTAAACTGTAACACTGTCTATCCGGCTATGACTTGGTGCAAACTCTGTGAAGTGATGTGTCTTCTTCATTTCCGTCATCTAGACTTCTTGGACAGCCTTCCGGCAGGGGATATTGCTACTGCCAAACGCATGCGGGCATGCAGGGAGGCAAAACCTAGGAATACCTAGGCAGAGGGCTCTTTTCTGCCTAAGCAAAAATAAGGTAAACGGGAGTCAATAAAATGGAATCCTACCACTTGGAGTGTGGTGAACCTAGTTTTGTTTTCACTTCTATATGGAAGTCTACATACTTGTATATATGTAATTCATTCTCATCACAAATGAGTAGTCGTTTTATTTTTCAGATTGAATCACCAAGACTTGTCACAACAGGTGCTACAAATGCGCAAGATAAAAGAAGCAGGAAGCGAAACTGGAAAACAGTTCTGTGTATTTGGAGGTAGGGTGGGCGAGTAGACATGGGAGGGCATGCAGATTTCCCTTCATTTGACAGGTAAAGAACAACCTGCTTTGCAATTGTATCTGTTCTTTCAAAGCAACAGTTGAGAGGATACAAAAGCAGCGCAGGCAGATCATATCCTGTGATGTGGTAGGAGGTAGTATAATCCCTGGTTTACAAAGCAAGTACTGGGCCTAAAATGAGAGAAAGTAATATCATAAAGAGAATCCAAAACCTATAAAGGAATAACTTGCTCCTAGATTAAAAATTTATACAGGCCGGGCGCAGTGGCTCACGCCTGTAATCCTAGCACTCTGGAAGGCCGAGGTGGGTGTATTGCTTGAGGTCAGGAGTTCGAAACCAGCCTGAGCAAGAGCGAGACCCCCGTCTCTACCATAAATAGAAAGACATTAATCGGCCAACTGATATATATATAGAAAACAAAATTAGCCGGGCATGGTGGTGCATGCCTGTAGTCCCAGCTACTCAGGAGGCTGAGGCAGGAGGATCGCTTTGAGCCCAGGAGTTTGAGGTTGCTGTGAGCTAGGCTGACACCATGGCACTCACTCTAGCCTGGGCAACAAAGCGAGACTCTGTCTCAAAAAAAAAAAAAAAAAATTATATAATTGCTTTAGGAGGTTTGAGTCTTCCATTGAATGTTGGGTCCCAGATTACTTTACCAGAACAAAGAGGACTGGATCCCATCATGATAGTACATTTGGGCATGTGGCGCTTTTAGCTTTGACAAAACACCCTCCTCTATGGCTTTACGTAGAACTGCTGAGAAGTACTGCAGAATTGTACAGTATGAGAACGTCACGTGTGTGCCACAATGATCTCTGTGGATCAGGATTTGCTGCTGTTTTGTTCTTAATGGAAAGACTGCATTCTGAATGCATTATCAGGACCTGCTCACAAAGGAAGGGATAAGATTTCAGGTTCTGCAGTATTATTTCTCATTTTTAACTGTTTAAGTGAAGGAAAAGCACAGGCCAGAAGAAACACTTGTGGGCATTCTCTAAGACTCAGCAGAGGGTGGGAAGGGAAGGTTAGCCCCTCACGAGAGATTCCATGTCATGCAAATTGGAAATTAGGCTGAGCTCAACCCCAGATGGTCACCCCTGAACACTGCTAAGAAAGAAGCAAGCAAAGATGCTCTTTTAGTCGCGTGAACCTGTTAGAAAGTGTTTCTCAGGACTTGGCGTGAGGCATGAGGTCGTGATATTAAAATGGAGAATTCCAAAATTTGCTCCTCCAGCCTAAAAGCTATGTTGTCATCCTCTTGTCTGCACTTGCTGCTGACACGCACACATACCAAGAGGCCTTAGGTAAGGTTATCTCCCTTTCATGTCCACATTTCCCAAATGAAGGTTTGAACCAGGTGGCTTTGAAGTGCCCTCCAGTTCTCACATTTAATGGTTTACAGTCAAAATTGGAAGGGTCCGTTGATTTCCATCATTCAGCTTCATGGATGCTGACATGTGAACAGCCGCCCCCTCTCCCTGCAGTGTGCGTCCTTGCGTGCGTACACACACACACACACACCCACCCACCCACCCACCCACCCTACCTTGGATGCACCCATTCACGGTTTAGATTCCACAAACTCATCAGATGCCCAAATCGTGAGCATCTGGGCATAGAAAACAGGCAGAGTCAGAACTGCATTTTCTTTTAAATCTTTATTTGTCACTTTCATCTCTTTATCCCACCAATGCACGTCTTGGAGAGCAGCTGGAGGCCATGCTGGAGTGGCTCGTGCCAGCTGGCTGGGCGGTGCTAACTAGCCAACCACAGCCTGAGTGTCGCTGAGTTGCACAGGTAACAGTGGAAGCCACCTCCAGAGGCTGGGGTGGCAGATGCCGGACCGCTGAGGCCCAGCCGGGGGCCACCTCCCAACTCCCACAGTAGTTTGGCCTTTAAAACACTAAGAACAATTGCAATCATTGTCTTTTTTTTTTTTTTTTTTGCTTTAATAAAAAAGAAAACCACAACCTCCTATAATTTATAAACTATGTTTTACTATCTACATTATATATAAAATATAGACTCTGTTTACTTTATAACACACATCTTTTACCCTTGATAAATAACTCTTTAAAATATCTAGTATACATGCCTTGACTTTTTATATATGTTTGGTTTTATACATATACATACATATATATATATACTCATGTTTGTAAAACACAATAAATAGATACTCGACAATGCAGTTTTGGTTAAAACAACAACAACAACAACAAACCCCAAATGAAGTACTGTAAAAGCACCAGGCAACAAACAGAAAGCCCTAATTGCTAGAAACTTCTCCCTCCCCTGGGCAAGGTACAGGGCAGAATACTAAACAGGTTTGGATGCCTGAAAGAGGAGGAGGGGGCAAAGGAGCCGGTCAGCTCGTGAGCTTTTGTTTTGTTTCTTAACCTGGGATTTGACTCGGAATCACAAATAGGTCATCACGTCTATAAAGAGAAACCAAGAGGCTCATTCAACAACTTAGCCCTTGTGGCAGCTGCAGAGGACAGCAGAGACCTACACAGGGAGGGGGAAGGAGAGTGACAGTGACATCCATGACTCCAAGGCTATTTTGCAGTCCCTGCTTACACCTGCCCAGGCAAGCTTTTGATTGGCGCAGTAAGCATCAAGCCATTGCATGTAACATGGTCTTTTTATTACTCTCTCCACTGCTGGTGTAAACAGAAAGGAACGTAACAGATTCAAGGGTGTATTCAGTAGTGCAGCGCTTTAGGAGCCCGGATGAGAGCCAGAGGCTTTGGTGGCGTCCCCAAGGGCTCCAGCAAATAGGGACTGAGAGATGGGGGAGACGAAGGCCGGGGGGCCACTGCCTTCCTCTCCTAACTGACGTGGTCACTCAGATGCAATGCCAGATTCACGCCCAGACTCCAACAGGACCTCATAACCCATCACCTTTTAAAGCAGCACAGGCAGTCTTGACTCCTCTTGTGAGACGTCCCCATCAGCCTGGCTGTCCCCTGGAACTCAGAGCACACTCCACCTGCCGGTCCCTCTGCCTGGGGTGCGGCAGATGTTGGAGGTGCGCGGCGTGAACTCACACTACAGATGCTCGCCACTTTTCTTTCAAGGCCTCCACCCTGTCCCCAAAAGGGAATTGAAACTGTGGGGTTCTGACAGCTGATTTGTTTTTTTAACAAGCTCCTCGATGTCATGGGCTCTGCCCTGTTAACTCCAAGGCTTTGATGGCCAAAGCAAGCAGGCAGCGGTGGAGCCGGAATCCTAGGCTAGTCAGGGCCAGATTCGTATCTGGTGTGGGGGACAATGTAAGTAGAGTGGTTCCCAGGAGACCCCAAAGGTGGAAACCTGAATGTATGCCCCCCCATCCTTGCCAAATAAAATACAAATTAGAGATAACTGTTCACATTATAGCCACGATGGGATATTTTAAACAGCTAGTTTTCTGAGTACATTCAAGACACAATAGAGTTTATTAAAAAACAGATTTACCTGCAACTGCTCAGGGAATCCGGTCCAGTGCAGGTGTGAGTTCTAATTCCAGCTGCTCTGCCAACTAGCTGTGGGACCTCAGACAAGTCATTTCAACTCTCTGAGCTTTCTTCCCCCATCTGAGCACTCTGCCTGAGCTGTGTGAGGCGGCATGAGACTTAAGAGGCAGAAAACCGGGCTTCTCGTCCTGGCTCTAGCACTAGATATGCACATGACCTTGGCCATCACTCTGCGTTATGTAAAATGAAGGCTGGATATAGTGAACGCTGAGCCCCCTTCAGAGGCAACTGGGTTTACTTACTCCCCAGAAAGTAATGAGCAAAGCTGATCCCCCCCCCCATACCCACCAAAGTCCAAGAGATCAGAGCAGAAACCCAATTTATGATCACAGGTCAAATTCAATAGCTGTGGCTACGAGAGAAGATGAAGAGAGTAAGAGAGTGTCAAGGTACAAATGCACTGCTAAGATGTGAGTCGCAAACAAATGAACTCTAAAAGCCCTACTCCCTGAGAAAAGACATTTTCCTATGTTATACTCAGACGCCGGAGGGCAAAATCCAAGGCCATCTATAATAGCCGGCTAGCAATGCTTTGAAAATTCCCAGCTCTGAGGTTTGCTGCATCACCTACAATCAAAATAAACTTAGGAAGTCAATTTTAAAAGAAGCTGACTGATGTTTCCATTTTGGATGGGGAAGAAAAATTGACGACTTCTATTTGCAGCTCATAACTAACCTCCTGGCAGCACATCAAATAGTTGCATCCTGCTCGACAGGAGGGTGTTGAGAGCAGCTGGGTGAAGCTGCAGGTCACAGTCAACTCTTGTCACAGTTGCTTCCTGGGGGTGAGAGCCCACCCCCTACAGAATTTGACAAGGCAGCTCTCCTGCCTGGCAAGAACAGCAGGTGCACAAATCTTTCTTCTTGGGAGGCAGCCTGGTTTGGAAGAGAAGTTTTGGATTCGAGTGATGCCACTTCTATTGAACAATTCTATGACTTTGGGCAGGTTACTTTTTCCCTCTTAGAGCCTCCATTTTCTCATGTGTAAAAAGGGAATAACAATACCTAATACTACAGGGCTGTTTTTATGAATCGAATGAGATAATGTACTTAAAATATTCTGCACATAGTGGACAAGTCTTGGAGTTGGCCAGTCTTGGAGTTGTTGGCCAAGAGTGCCCCTAGAGAGTCCAGATACACCTGACACAGTGGTGTTTGCTGCCAGGTAGGCTAAGGTGGAGCTGAGGTACCCTGCAGTGCATCCTCCTATTGAGGGAGACGTCTTGGAGAGGCTGACAGTGGTCACAGACTCTTTCCAGAAGAAGAATGATTCCAAACTTTCCAAATGCCCAGGGCATTCCCAAACACTTGTGGATCTCAGGGAAGAACACTCATCTACACCCTCTCTCTGAATTTGGAATTTAGATTATCTGCAGAGGCAACTAGCAGCATCCACACAAGGATGGGAACAAAACAACCAGAGGGGACTAAGTGTGGAGACCTTAGAAAGTGCTGCTCCTGTTACATCAGGCCCTGGAGACACATTAAACGAAGCAGAAAGGGGCTGGATTATTGCTGCGGCTTAGTCCTAGACTGAAGTCAGTGGACGGTACCCAGACCCCTAGGGCACAATTGGGGGTGCTGGGCTGAAACAAGGTCCTTTCGCAGGGTGTTGTTGAAAGCTTCAGATTTCAGTGTCACATTGCTGCCCCCATTCAAGTCTTTGCATGTGACAGGATAGGGCAAACAGAACTAAAGAAGTATCTCAAACCCATTTGCTGTAATTTTTGTACTTAAAAAAAGTATCTATCTAGGTCTTTTATTTCTCTCATTCCTTCATCTACCTACTACATGCATTTCAGTAGATATTAATAACATTTGAGTATACTTAATAAAATATTTTTTCATGCTTCTTTTAAAGAATATATACTCTTTCTATATACCCCAGCCTCGAATGAGAATGTTTCAGATACTAAATATTTATCACAGAGCTCAGAGAACTTTGGTGGGGGGAGATCTCCCAAGAATTATGTTTAAGTGCAGAAACATAACATTGAAACCCCAGGGATATCGTGTTGAGATTGTAAACAATTTAGAAAATTTAGACCCATCGAGTCATCTAGCTTTCTTCTCCATCATTCTCAATCACAGCCTTTCAGGTTGGGCAGGAAAAAAAAAATTCTTGCACTCAGTTCCCACAAAAATTATTAATACTTTCCCAGAGGGCAATTTAGGAGAACAGGAACCAAAACAGTCCATAACATGGCCCTCTGCTTAAAGTATCATTGGGAGACATCTACTCCAGCAAATCTCCAGTTTTGAATTGATAGCTGCAACAGCTGGAATGAGCACGAATAGTCAGCAGATCGGGGACCAAAATGAATCACGGAGAGTTGCAGGTAACCAACCCTACCTAACCAACCCCAGCCTTGCAGCAAGGCTGTGGATGTAGAGTGATTTTTCCAGGGAAAGCAACACTTCCTCCTCTGTGCTAGGAAATGACCAACATTCCTCTGGTGTCTGGGCACACCCACACTGGCACCTACGAGTAGCCTGGGCTTTGGAGCTTATGGACCCTAGGGAGGAGCGTGGGGGATGCGACTCAGATTTTGCCTACTCAGAGGCTGGGGGGTGGGGGGGTGGACTCCAGGCCTCTTAAGCTCCCTTCTAGTTCTACTGCCAGTTATCTGGAAGGAAGTCTAAACCTCAGCTGCCTGCAAGGACACCTGTTTGACCTCAGCACGCCTGTGCGACAAAGCCTATGGAGACTTACCAAGGCATGGTCTCCACCTCCCGCCTCAGCAGATGTCTTCTGTGGGGTGAAAGATTAAGGAAAGGTCTTTTCAAGATAAACAGGAGACCAAGACCAAGTAGATGGATATGTTTTTCCAACATTAGCCTTCTCGACCTCAAGCGAGCCCCTCAAGGAGCTCTAAACCCCATTTTAGAAATACTGAAAAATTATGTTCCATGTTGTCCTTTTGTTTTAATACCTATGCAAAAATGTTCAGGTGTTAGAATCCTGAAAGCAAAGGTCAACACTAAGGAAAATGGCCTTCATCTTTTTTTTTTTTTTCAAGGAAAGAGGATTCTGAGTGGGACTAAAGGCTTCCCTTTTACATCCACAAACCTGGATGAATCTCCTAAAAGGCCTTCCCCAGCTCGGTAGGAGAGATGTGTGTAGAGGCCCAAAACACCTAGACGAGGCTCACTTCGCCTTCTGTTTGGGACTTCACACTGCCACACTGAGGCACACAGCTGTCCCCAGTCCGTGAGGGCAGCATTTGAGTTTAGGGTCAAACTCACTTTGTGCTGTCTTTCAGAGCCATGTGACAGGCCACCCCAACACTTCAGTGAAGAATCCTACACTCAACTCTGCCCTCACCGGAAAGTGTTCTAAGGTGACTCCTTGCAGTTTTTAAATTGTTGACAAGCTAAGAGGGATGTCTTATTGTCTGCCTCACCTGTTTCAATGCAGCACGTGCTCTTTCCTCATGGCTGGCGGGAGCCCTGGTTTCTACTCTATTCCTGATCTCCCGGTCCCCCCAGGTGAGGGGCTAGCAAGCAGGAAGGCACCCCGTCAGTGCTTCCTATGAGGAAGACCCACCAATCGAGGGCTGCACACTTTGTTACTAAGCACTTTCTCCTTCAGACTCTTTTTAGTATAATAAAAAGTGGCTTCCTGGAATTTGAACTTTCTTACCTGTCCACCCCAGCCCAACAGGCTTATGGGGACCTGGGAAGAGGGGCCTTCTTCTGCCAGCAGTGTGTGTCCGGGCAGCCTGGCTCACACTGACTTGCCATCTGATAACGTGCCTTGACCTGGAAGGACCACTTGGCTTGCAGCGAGGGAAGGCCAAGGCGTGGGGGGGGGCTGAGGTAGGGAGGGGAGCAGCCCCTCCTTGCTTCTCACAGTAAAGGGCAGCAGAGGCAGCTAAAGCCCCTCCGCCCTATGCAGACACCCCACAGGGACGCCGTGGGGAACGGCAGGCCCTCCTGAACACCCCGGGCTATTACAGCTCAGCCCGCCAACAGTCTGGTTTGCCTTCCCAGATGCCATTTATTCACACTGCTCCGCCACCTCCCGCGCCCCCCGCTCCCGCACGCGTCTTTCACCCTCTGTGGGCCCCCGGGTCCCCAGCCCGCGCTAACAGTACAGGGACATCCTGCTCCGGCGCATGGCCTCGCTGATCAGGTAGGCGGGGCTCAGCTCGGGCTCCTCCGTCATGACGGCGATGTTCTGCCACTCGCCCGTCTGGCTGGACCTCTTGATGGTGTCCACCACGCACAGGGCGTACAGGCAGTCGTCGAAGGTGGCGGCCATCGTGAGCGGCCGCCCGTCCCACGTGCGCCGGTCGTCCTGGTCCTGGAAGGCCTGGCGCACGGCCTGCATCATCTTGATGGTGCCGCGCAGGTAGGGCGCGGGGATGTCGCTGAAGGCCTTCGCGGGCAGCAGCGAGTTGCTCACGGGCGTGGCGTCCTGCACCAGCAGCTCCTGCTCCGGGGCGCCGTTGCGCTGCCCGTACAGGTCGGTGCCCGCGGCCAGCAGGCGCCCGGCCGAGCCCACCACCGTCACGTCCTGCTTGAACTCGCCGGGCACGTTGAAGTTGAGCGTGACGGTGCAGCACACGCCGCCCTCCAGCACCATCTGGAAGGTGCAGAAGTCGTCGCTGGTGATCTGGCGGATGCCCTTGATGTGGTCGGTCTGCTTGACGAAGGTCTTGAGCAGCCCGTGGACCTTGATGGCCTTCTGGCCGGTGAGGAAGGTGAGCAGGTCGATGATGTAGGTGCCCACCGAGTGCAGCCCGCCGCCGCCCATCAGGTCGTCGCAGCTCCAGTTGTACTTCTTGCCCAGCAGGCTGCCGCTGTGCACCTGCACCTCGCACACCAGCGGCTCGCCCACGTAGCCCTCCTCGATCAGCTGCTTCATGCGCACGAAGGCCGGCAGGAAGCGCAGCACGTTGCCCATGATGCTCATGAGCTTCGGGTAGTAGTGGGCGGCCGACATCATGCGGAAGGCGTCCAGCGGCGTGGCCGTGCGGTCGCAGATGACGTTCTTGCCGATGCCTGCGGGCGGGAGCAAGGACAGCGGTCAGAGGTGGCGCGCACGCACGGCGCGGGCGGCAGGGGGCGCTGCGGCCCCGGAACGGGACTGCGCCTGCGCGGGTGTCCCTGGGTCACTTCCTGTCCCAAGAGTCTCCATTACAAAGGAAGAAATTTGGAAAGTTTTGTAATGGATATTTAGTAAATAAAGATACACTTAGCTACCATTTCCCATTTTCCCTATGTATGGTGATTTGGGGGACACCCTTTATTTCCTAGCACCTTTTATTTATATAAAAAGAAGATATTCTGTATATTTCAAAATTACTTCACATATTTAAGTTGAATTACTTAGCTTAATATTGAACCTGGCCGGGCGCGGTGGCTCACGCCTGTAATCCTAGCACTCTGGGAGGCCGAGGCGGGCGGATTGCTCAAGGTCAGGAGTTCAAAACCAGCCTGAGCGAGACCCTGTCTCTACTATAAAAATAGAAAGAAATCAATTGGCCAACTAATATATATATATATAAAAAAAAAATTAGCCGGGCATGGTGGCTCGTGCCTGTAGTCCCAGCAACTCGGGAGGCTGAGGCAGTAGGATTGCTTGAGCCCAGGAGTTTGAGGTTGCTGTGAGCTAGGCTGACGCCACGGCACTCACACTAGCCTAGGCAAGAAAGCGAGACTCTGTCTCAAAAAAAAAAAAAAAAAAATATATATATATATTGAACCACTGGCATTGATTTAAACAGTAAGATTTAAGATATTTAAGTAAGCCATATTTTAGAAATATTTAAAAATATTTGTCAAGAAAGCATAAAGTGCTTCATTTGATATTTATATAAATCAATACCATTTTATATAGAAATATATTTTGCTTTTATATTAAATATAAAATATAAGATAGTTCTATTAAAGTATATATCTTTTTACATATAAAATATATTTTGTTACAATTGTTATATAAAATTTCTTATGTCTTTTATAAGTATAATTTTTATTAAAATATATTATTAAAAATATCATATATAGAGAAGAAAATAGTATCTGTATCTGGAAAGAGTCAGAATATATAAGTGTAAATCCTAGCCAAGGCAAGTCTGATTAAGAATTTCTTAATGATACCCTTTGAAGGTCTAAGCTTTTGGCTGTCACTCTTCCCCCTGACACCCCAAGCCCTCAAGGATTGTACTTTGAGTGTTATCTTCCTTGTTTATTTTGCATTCTGGATTAGAGCTGGCAGTGGTCACAGATGTGTTTAATGTTTTTCTCTTCCTGTAAAGAGCAGACATTACCTACATCTGAGAGGTGGGCAATGCCTATTTTCTCCCCTGCCCCCATCTGCCTCAGGGTAGGGTGTGTTGCTTTTGGCCAATGGAGCTCAGGCCACTGAAGAATTAGTCTTGTGTGATGACTGTCATGGGTGTATAAATTACAGGGAGGCCAAGATGCCTCTTTGAGCCCTTTAGGAGACTAAGTGGTTCTGGGTCTGGAGAAAACAAAGGATCAAAGGAAAGGAAAGTGACAGGGAATGAGACAGGGATTTAGTCCATAGAAGCCAAGAGTCAGGGAGGAAGAAAAACAACTCAGCTAGAACTGGAGAATCAGCCAACTGGAAGGCAAAGTACAAAAATAAAAAAGCATCACACAGATTTGTTAGCAAGCCAGATAAAACAGATGCTAGATTGGAAGACTTGGAGACTTATGGGGAGCTCCTGAGTCAAGGCATGTGCTTGTCTGGGGCAGGTCTCTGTGTTCTAGTCATGCTCCACATAGACTCTCTAATGGAGACCTGGGCTCTCCAGCCACAGATGGGGGAGAGACCCCAAGGGAAATGGAGTGATGAGACCCATCCCCCATCCCACTTGTTCTGGCTATGGGCACTCCATTGACAACATCCAGGAACTCTTACAACACACTGAGCTAAGATGGGGTTTTGTGGATGCCCTACAATTGTAAATGCAGTGCAAGGACACATGCACAAGACTGCAGCCTGGCACGTGGCTCTCTCATTTTCCCATTGGAAGAGCTAGCCAAACAACAGAAGTGGTTAGCACAGATAGAAGTAAAGAAATACAAACAATGGCTGTAGGTTTCCGCGTGCACATCTAGTTCTGGGCCTGAGCGAAAGGCCCGCAGCAGACCTCCTTGCCACGGCACACGTATCCATATTGGCAGAGCTCGGCTGGCCCCCTCATGACCACAAACGAGCAGTAAGCAGCTCTTTCAGTTCCTAGTAACCAGGTGAGAACAGAGGCTCCAGCAGAGGGATGAGGCAACATTGGCTTGTATCACCAAAAATGCCACACACCTGCGTAACACAATGTTCTGATAATATGATCTTGTAGGTATTAGGCTCACGTAACACGGGCTCATGCTGCCAGGAACAGATTTATATGTAAACGGATTGGTAGGTCACTGCAGGGACAGGTGACACATACTGCTAAAATCTGCCTCACACTTGTTGGGTATAGTGGCCTCTGCTACACCCTACTTCAAGGTCTCCCAAATCAGGACCTCTGAGTCATCTCCTTTCTACACTCTACTGGTCATACTAATGGCACTTAAAAAAAGTTTATCTTACTTTCTGGTATTATAAAAAATGTAAAACAATAAAAGGAAAAAAGAATGCATAGTGAAAAATAATTCGTACCCCTTCTGTACACATCATAATCACTAAATGGGTAATTCTTTGCAGCTCTATAGAGGAAAGATTCCGATGAAATTTCGGGAAAAGGCAATATGAACATAACACACAAAACTCTACTCCATCCTGAAACTCATGCATGGTTTCCTCAGGGTTCCGAGATACAGGACTTTCTTTCTTTAGGCTATTTATGTATGTTGTGGTTTTACATTACACAGTAAGGAACTCTAGGATAAAGACTAGGCCTTCTAATTTCTTAAGTCTCCCTTATGCCCACAGCACCTAGTTGTGTCCTGCATGTAGCAGGAACCCAGCGAACGTTGTCACCTGGCCCCACTTCTCTGCCCACAATCTTTTTCAACACCCACACTTTACAGATGGGTCTCGGCAACATCTTAACACACAATAGCTTCAAAAGTCAAAAGAGACTTCTAGGAATTTATCATAAAGAAATAATTTAAAATGCAGGCACAGCTTCTTGCCCAAAGATGGTTCTCACTGCATTATTTATTAAAGCAAAAAGCTGAGAACAATGCAATGCCCAACAGAAGAATGGCTGTGTAAACTATAGTACAGCCATATAATAGAATATTGTGCAGCCATAGAGAATTGATGCTTATAAAGACATTTCCATGGCAAGCAAAATGATTATGATGCAACGTTAAATGAAAATGGCCCCATTCATAAGCATACTATGATCTCAACTCTCTCATTAAAAAGACAAATGCAAAAGAAAAAACCTGAAAGGGAATACCTCCAAATATTTACAGTGGTTAACTGATTAACAGGATTATGACTGAATTTTATTTTCTTCACTGTATTTTTCCATATTTTCCAAGTTTCTAATTTTATGATCAGAAAAAAAATACCAGTTTTTGTTTTAAGACCAAAACAAACAGGAATGATGGTGAAGGGCCCTCCAAAGTCTAGGGTGGGCTGGCAGGTCCCACCTCTCGTGGAGCTGTCCCAGTTCCTGGGGCCCTGGAGAGCTGGTAAAAGCTCTGCTGACCCTGAACTCTGAAAGCTTCTACATTGCTTTCTACCAGGCTACGTTGCCAGGTCTTCTTGCTCCAATTGCTCGGGACCCCTTTATGATTCTTGGTGAAAGCTGTGGACTCTCTCTCCAGAACACATAATTCAAACAGACACACAAAACCCTGCCACATCCTGAAGCCCACATGGACCGCCTCAGGTTCTGAGGGACTGGCGTCTCCATTATAAATTGGGAGATAACTTCTCCAAGCCCTTAGGACGAATTGTTAAAAATAAGGTAATGCTTCCAGTTTTAAAAGGAAGCTAAAGTACAGAGCCAGCAGACCCTTCACAGATGAGTGAAACAGGGTTGTGTTTTCTCTCTGCGGTGGACAGTCTTCCCGCAACTCTGCCTCTCTCTCAGGGGGGCTTCTGCAAAGCCCACTATGGATCCCCCAAATTCCTCAGATTCTTTTTCCCAGATTTACCCCACCAAAATCTGCCATATTAAAAGGTTCTTGGTATTGCAACAAGAATCAAGGATTTAGGCTAAAGGAACGCAGTTGCAAGTGTAGACTTCCAGTCATCAGACCTGCCTTTGTGTATGTGGGTGCAGTAGTGTGGCACAGAATGCTCCCCCTTCCCCAACCACATGCAGTGAAAACTTGTGTCGTCCAAGGATATGAGTGACACATGTCACGAGCCTGGGTGTGTCAGATGCCACGGCATACGTGCTGGGATTCCTCCCAAAGAAAAGTACACAGATACCTGCTCTCCAGTCTGCCTCTGTCTGTCAGCCTGGGCCTTGGGCCTGGCTTTCCAGCAAACCCACAGTCTTTGGTGTCTTCGTCATGGTCACCTGTCTCAGCACAATGCCTCTCTTGCCACTCCCAGAGGAAGCACTGAAACAAACTCTTTGGGGAAAAGCCCTCTCTCTCCATTTAGTGTAGGAAATATTACGTAGGGCAGTCTTGCACCCCCCTCCCTAAGCAGGTGCCGATGATAACTGTTTGACATGAAGGTAAGTAGGTTCCACCAAGGAAACAGAAAATGAGGGGTTCAGGGAGAATCAGAAGCCCCGTTATGAGCCCTTTACCAGCCGTGGCCAAGTTCTAGTGGAGAAACCTACAAAAGCTCCTTTCAACCAGCAGGGAAAAAACACCTCCGGGTCTCAGTCTGCATGGCCCGGGGAGACAGTCTGCGCTCTCTCACTCCTGGGTGGACCATTTGACTGAGGGGCCAGGAGAGCCATCTGTACCCCCGGAGTCCACACGCCTCTCACAGCACCACGCCCAACACACGTTCCTCAGCTTTCAGGTTTACGTCCTCTGGTGGCAAAATGCGGCGCCCTCCTTCTCGGCAAAAGATCAAACACGTTGGGACTTGAAACAATCTAAGAGAAAATCGT